GTCTGTGCAATGAGGAAGAACGACACACGAGACTTGTGTACTTGCAATTTCGGAGCGAGTGGGAAAGAGAAAGAAAGAGGAGAGCAGCGAGGGAGGGAGGGAGAGACCGTGCGCCGTGCAAATGTTGGCAAGAAAAGGATGGATGGAAAGGACGAAAGACAGCACGCACGAAATGAGAGAGGAACGGTTGAAAGTGAAAGCGAAAGCGAGAAGGAGAAAGAAGGCAAAGAGTGAGAGTGAAGCGTAGAGAGAAGGCAAAGCAGCTGGAGAAAGACGGAGATAGTTTGGCAAGCGGTATACTGCGGCAACAAAGAACAGAGATGAGTGGTTGAGGTTACCTGATGTATTGTTCGTTGGCAGATCGGTGACCAGGTTAGCCGGTGGTCGTGAGTGCGTTTGTTGCTGCTGCGATTGCGGTTGTTGTTGCTGTTGTTGTTGAGTTTGCTGTTGCTGTTGTACCTGATGAAGGGTTTGTTGTTGAGGTCCCGGCAAAGATAAATTAGTCGTGGTGTTGTTTTCAGTGAGAATCGGTACTGAGGAGGAGGAGGAGGACGACGACGACGATGACGACGATGATGACGATGATTCCGTAAGGGCCGTCGCGGTGGTGTTCTCGAGGGCCTTGTGGCCCCCACCTTCCCCTGTCCCCGTAGCCATTCGGCCCTCGTGCATTCCAGCAGACAGACAGACGGGGGTCCCTCCTCCTGCACGTCGTCCTCGAGCGCACGCACTTCTCTCGAAATACCTACACACTCTCTCTTACGTGCCCGCGCTCTCTTTCTCACCCCCGTCTATCTATCTGTCTGCCCCGTCTCTTTCTTTCTCTCTTTCTCTTTATCTCTGTCTGACCAACGGAACCGCGCGAACTCGATCTCCTTCCTTCTTTTTATCTGTATCTCTGTCCCCCCTCCCTCTCGTATCCCTCCCTCTCTCTTTCTCTCTCTCCTCTGCTCCTCGCGCTCCTCTCTCTGTGTATGTCGCTCTCTGTCACCTTCTCTCTTTCTCCCCGTGTGCGCACGCTCTTGCTGTCCTCCTCTCTTTTTACTACTACGCTCCCCGCGACGGCCAGCGCCGTCTGAGCGTACCGAAACTACACCGTCTCTTTCAACCAAACATCAGTATATTACACAACAGCGACATCACACACGCCCGCGGAAAAATGAGCCCCGCGCGGATTATTAACCTCCTGTCCGCCGGCTCGAAAAAAATCGAACGTTAGACAAATGTAGGTCTGTAGGCCACTTCACTTACACTTTGCATCGGGACGGGCACTCCCTTAGTCAAGCGAGCGTCCGGCGCACCGTTGCGCTCTGACAGCACGAGTTCCAGGACCGTGTGCTCAGTGCCGGTGCCCTGAGCCGTCGATGTTCTTTATCGATGCCGCGCGCCCAAATCACGCTTCTAATCATCCACCTTTTGGCGACTCTTGCCATTTCTCTGCAACATCTACATCGACCTTACTTTTTCAACTCTCTTCCTCGATGCCATGACCGCGCGTCCTCTCGATCGACAGGCACAGCATTCGATTCGAACGTGAAATTACGAATGTGAAGTTGGACGCAGTTTATCTGTACGATCGAAATTCCAAGAGGTAAAATAACAAAATTTCTTTAGATTTCCTCGTCTACGATCTACGCGGCAACAGACTTTATCTCAATAAATTTCGAGTACCAAAAGCGTATATAGAATGTATTGTCATGTTACAAAAAGAATTTAATTCCCGAGTCATTTCGCTCCATCGAATCATTAATGGCTAAATGCTCCGATGAGCCTGTAATTATAATCTCGAATAAAATTAAAAGATACTTGGTAATGACGCGTTAAAAAAGGTTAATAAAATTTAAATATCCGAACATTAAAAAAAATTAAAATCGAAGAATGTTAATGTTCGCTGTGACACGTCCATTTCGTAAAAATTAGCTTTAATTTGCGCCCAATTTTACCATTCGTAGACACGGCAGTGGGTAACGAAAGGGAAAATATTAGCTGTACCAAAACTCAAAAATGCCGCGTGACGTAGAAATAGCTTGACGAAATTCGCCGTACAAATTCTCGAGCACTAATGTAATCAGGTAACCGTTTACTTTTAATTGTACCACATTAAACAACAACAAAAGAGAAAGTATTTTGAGAGGAGGAACATATCGAACGAGGTTTTGTGTGGGTACCGGTTTTACTAATCACGGCACTGTGTTCCAATAATGTATCACGGAAAGACGCAATTTCCGAAAGATTTCCTAGTTCTCTGGTATTTGCAGGCGATGAGAATCTGCAAATTGAAAGGCTGTTAAATGCGTTTTTCACGTCATAAATGCTGTCAATTTACCACTGTCTTAAATACAACGATACCGTCTAAGTAGGTCAGGTGTCACAATATCTGGACGCCTTATTATGGAGCGCTTTTACACCAAATGTTGCATAACTCGCCACGCACGACTTCACCAAATATAACCGTGTAAAAACTATGACCTGACGGACATAATGCGATGTAATCCCTTTTCATTGTACAATACACTTGACTAACGCTTTCGAATAACGTTTGCAGCGCTATCTAACACAGATTAGCGCGAAATATGAAATGCAAAATCGCCATGTTCCTTCTGCTTTGTGCTTTCCTAAAATAAAATACATATTTCAAAGTGATAAGACAAAATTAACAAATTGCAAAATTTTAATGTTTAATAATATATAAAGTATTGTAACAACCATACAAAATGTTATAAAATATATATATGTATATATATATATTGTGTGTGTATATGTGTGTGTATATATTGTAAAAATTCGGCGAAAAATAGAAATTGCAAAAATACATATAAAATACTATTTTGCGTTAACGTTGGAAATAAACTTCTTATTTAAAGTATTACGCATTTTTTTGAGTAACCTCATTAATTAAATAACGCGAGATTATAAGTCTCTGAATTTGCGCAGTACCTTCGTAAATTTGATAAATTTTTGCATCACGCATTAATTTTTCTACCGGATACTCGGTGTTGAATCCAGCACCGCCGAAGATCTGTAAGTGAAATGTAAAATAATTGCTTTCGTTTTCATTTTTAAGAAAAATTAATACGTTGCATAATAATGATATACTTGAACAGCATTTGTTGCACATTTGTTAGCTACATCACCAGCGTAACACTTTGCAATGCTGGCAAGAACTGTAGTTGTTGGAAGATTGTGATCGGCAGCCCAAGCTGATTTCATCCAAGCAAGTCTGGAAGTCTCAACACCGATCGACATATCTGCGAGCATAAATGCTATAGCTTGATGTTCTGCTATTGGTTTATTAAATGTTTTACGTTCCGTTGAATATTTTGTAGCTTCGTCAAGAGCTCTTTTAGCTAAACCGACAGCTGCGGCGGCAACCTATAAATAGAACATGAAACATTTGAATAATATAGTTTTATAATTAACTACTCTTTAAATAGTATTTTTATCTACGTGCCAGTGGTCTAGTTTTGTCAAAAGTTTTCATAGCGATTTTAAATCCTTCGCCTTCCTTGCCTAAAACATTTTCTTGTGGAACACGAACGTCTTCAAATGTTATCATTCGAGTGTCGGAAGCTCTTTGACCCATGTTTATTTCCTATTTCATTACAGAATAAATTTATTTTACTAAAAAATGCAAATTTTTATTAAGAACAAAATTTACTTTTCGGCCAGGTGTAACACCTTCAGTCTCGCGTTCAACAATAAAAGCTGTGAAAGCTTTATTAGCTGGAGCTTTTGGGTCAGGATTTGTTCTTGCTAATAAAAAGTACCTATATAAATGAATATGAATATTTTGTTATATAGTAACTATTAACATAATTTAATGACACACAAGTTACTGATAAACTGATAAACTGATAAACTCAACGTACCAATTAGCAACACCTCCATTTGTTATCCACATTTTTGTTCCATTAATGATCCACTCATTTCCTTTCTTCTCAGCTTTTGTTCTAATGCCTGCCACATCCGACCCAGCTCCAGGTTCGGTTACACAGTATGCCTGTAATTTTTATATTGTAAGTGTATTGAATTGCTATAAATTAATAAATTTAATTATCTTACAGCAACAAGTGGTTCTTCGATGAGTCTTCCAAGATATTTTTTGTGTTGTTCTTTTGTGCCAAATGCAACTACAGGAGCTTGCTATTAAAACAATTTAAAGCAGCATAATAAGTATAAGAATATAAATATAACAGCATTGTAAAATAAACTTACGCCTAATCCTGATCCTTCCAGTGCAGTTCCTATTCCTGTGCAACCATAAGCAAATTCTTCTGCAACTAAACAACCTTCAAAAGTACCAACATTCATTCCTCCTGTAATAATAATTTATATATTTATAATTTATCTCTTAAAGTTCTATCTCTTCTTTTAAATGATATAAGTCTATAATTATACCACAATATTCAGGAATATGTTTATTCAGTAAACCCAAACTCCATGCTTTTTTTACAATATCCCATGGATATTTTCCACTTCTATCATATTCGACAGCTACTGGAATAATTTCTTCTTTTGTAAATTTACGTGCCAATTCCTGTATTTCTCTTTGAGTATCATTTAGTTCTAAAGTGTAGATATTACATATAAGTATTACATATAAAATATTTTTATTTTTACAAATATAGTTATGTTATTTTTACATTCTATTTGTTGTACTAACCAAAGTTATACCCTGTAGCATAATCAGACTTTGATGAAAATGTTCTCAGTACATTCTGATATGTTATATTTTTCAGCATCTAACAAATCATATAGTACTAATTTCTATACTTTAATATAACAATTTAATAAAACAATTGAAGATTTTACACAGTATAAAAGATACTTACCGATCGTGAAAACATTTTGACGTCTATTTGTTTTTACTTTACGTTAGTCTTTTAGTCTGTTAGTAGTTACAGTTACTTCTGAACTTATTGAACATAAAATTTGTATTAAAAACACTTATTGTAAGGAAAATTTTTATAAAATAAAAAGATATGAAAGTTATCAGAATTATTGCAAACAATGGTTCAAAGTACGTTTTCAAATTACATGATCACCTATGAAATATCACATATATACATATATATACGTATAGATACAAAGAAATATATTGATACGTATATATGTGTACAGCTACCAATTATGTATCTCGTAAATGTGTAAATGTTATATAAAAATTTAGAAATAAGTAATTGATCGTTAAACATATGTTATGATTTTTTTCGGTAAATATACATTTTTAGATTAAATAGTTTTTGCAATTATAATTTCCTTTTCATACATAAGATTTATTAAATCTTAATGAGGATAAAATTATTTAAATACTGACGTATCATTTAAATACTGACGTATCATTAATCCTACATATATGAGTAGCGCGAAAATTTTGGTTGTTCCTCCGACATTGAAATATTTTCAAAAAATTTAAAAATTACGTTAAAATGAATTTAAATTATTTAACGGTTTAACGTGTATTTATTTCATTCATTAATGAATAACAACTTGTTGTGAAAAATATAATATTATATATAAGTGAAATAGAAATCATTTAAGATGTAGGAAATAAGGAAAGAAAATCTATCAGTCAATGTTGAGCCGTCTTTACCGAATAAGTTATTATTATTTTTATGTGAAAGATATAATATGAAGTTAAGTTAATATATGTAGAAAAGTAGTTGCATATTAAATAACATACTATGTATGTTAATTTCATTGTTTTGCTATTATAATAATTGAAATTGACAAGCGACTGTCATAATCTTCTCAGCATGAAGATAGAGATTCATCCTTTAACAAACAATCCTACAGCAGCTTGGCGTGAATTGTCACAGCAACAAAAAGTTATTAAAATAAATACCAAACTTCCAACAACCGAAGCCCCAGATGATAAGGTAAAATCTTCGAATTATTTGTTATCTTTTTTATTACAAACATTCGCCGAACCTAACCTATAGTGAACAATATACAAAATTTGTGTTATTACAACATTAGAAATAAAAATCAATTTATCGTAATGTTCAATTATATTTTAGCTTCGCATTGTTTGTATGAGTGACACTCATTCATTAACACCATATATAAAATTCGACATACCTATGGGGGATGTGTTCATACATGCTGGAGATTTTACAAAATGTGGTAGTTTACAAGAAGTTATAGAATTTAATAATTGGATTGGTAATTTGAAATAAAAAAATGTTCGTTTTCCATACTTTTATATTAATATTTAATAACAGCAATTCTCTTATAGGTAATTTGCCACATAAAAATAAGATTGTCATAGCTGGTAATCATGAACTTAGTTTTGATCCTACATTTACTCATCCCTTTTCTTTGCAAACCAGTGGAAATCGTCAAAAACATACAGGGACCAGTATTCTTGATGATATACCTACATTAGGAATGTCTAAGGATACTCTTGCAGAAGCAATACAAACTTCTAATGTTAAAGAATATTTGACAAATTGTATCTATTTAGAAGATTCAGAAATTATAATACATGGAATAAAAATATATGGTACACCATGGTAAATATTAATTTATATATATATTATAGACACTCTATATATACATACCATGTTTATCTAAAAAATTTCTTTTAATATTTTAAATCCTAATAATATAAATTCTAATAATATTTTAGGCAACCAGAATTTTGTAAGTGGGCATTTAATGTACCTCGTGGAGAAGCATGTCTTTCAAAGTGGGAAATGATACCATCGGATACAGATATTCTTGTAACACACACACCCCCTGTAGGACATGGAGATTTATGTTGTAGTGGTGTAAGAGCTGGATGTGTGGAACTACTTTCTACAGTTCAAAATCGAGTTAAACCAAAATATCATGTTTTTGGCCACATACATGAAGGTATATATTGTTAAATTTATTTTTCATTTCATATGAATTACATGCTTATTATGTTCTAGGATATGGCATTTCATCTGATGGGAAAATCATATATGTAAACGCATCAACATGTGATTTAAATTATTTACCAAGTAACCCACCAGTAGTCTTTGATATAACATTACCACCTGGTCATTGTAAAACATAAACAGGATCAAAGAGTATAGCAGTAAATCTCATTTTTTACATACAAATATATTAAATTGTAGAAACTCCATTTATTTATCTATATATTTCTATAAATTTTTCTACGTTATGTATGTTTGTATTAGGTACAATCTTATCCAAAACAACAGGGCAAATACAAAAAAATTATGAATTAAAGACAATATTGTTTACTTCAAAATATTTGAAAGTATTAAAATTAATTTTTAACATACAGTTTTTACAAATGTAAAAATATAATTGTTTAAAATTATAATATTTTTAGTTATACACGATGACATGTAAATAGAACAGTTTTGTACTTAGGTAAAGTTTTAATTTATATTATTTTAAGAGAGTCATAATTGTATGTTCAAATTCTTACATATTGTGTATATATATTTGGAATATAAAAATTACACAGTTCATTGTCATTAAATTGTTGCACATAATACTATAAATTAAATTACAAATTAAGTTAGATATTTTTGTTATGAAGTGTATATAAAATCTTAGTCATCAACAAAATATTTGGTATTTCAGTTGTGAAATATGTCATGAACAATTTCTTTACAATTTTTATTACAGTATAATAAACGATACTTATGAGTCATATCGTTCAATAATATGTGAGTATTATAATGCAACATATAGATTAATAAACCAACTTGATATTTAGCTAATAAAGTAACTACTCTAGGATACTTGTTTCAATTACATTTTATACACAATATAATTTTTAAGGAAATAAGATATTTCTAAACACTTAATCAGTATGATCAAACATATTTAAATTAATAGAATGATCATGTACATAATTTTTCTATTATAGTATAATAAAGAATTAAAATTACATTTTTCTGAAGATATTTATTATAATACCCAATTCGTTAGCATTTTTTATCGAAAATTACGAAAAATTTGCACGTAAACGATGTATTTATATTGACTTATATCTTCGTACATTGGTCCAAAGCTAACTGTAAAATCACTTTCCTCCGTGAAACGAGGGAACAATTTTATAATAGAAATATGTTCATCTAAATAGCAATTTTTTTAGTTTTTAAAAAACTGTAATAGTAAAAAGATACTCGAAAAAAATATAATGTCTTTTTAACATTATTTTGCTATTGTATGCAGTACAATGTAATACATAATATATTATAATATATACTACATTATATCAGAGTTGTAAAAAGCTAATTGTTCTGACATATGTATCAATTGATAAACTGTACATACATATTGCAAATTTTTACATGTCATTGTAAAAAAAATGATATGCCTCTACGGCGTAGATATCGCATAAATGTCTACTTGCACCAGTTACAATACTTTTTTATACCTACACAGTTTCACAACTGTCAGGATCATGACGTCATTTCATATCATACAAATTAAGTTAAATAATATAACTATATGTTCTAAATAGATAATGATATTCTCTGCATGTTAAGTGGCAATCTAGCAAAAATTTAATTATTTTTAAACAATTTTACTTTAGAGCTTCCTTTTGTATTATTTATCAACTTATTTTCCCTCAAAATGAACAATATCGTACGTTTTATCCATCTAACGTCATTTTCTACATACATTTGTTGAAGAAAAAAAATATGTATAATTTTCAAATTAAAAACGGGATATTATCCCAAGTTTGCTCTTACAAGCAAATTAGTTTAAACTTAAACTAAGAATAACAGAAAACGCGAATGTAAAAAGATTATATTCTTCTTACATAGTTTTAAAGAGTATATTATCAGGAAGATTTTCATCTAATACGGTACATTTGAAAACAGGTACGATACAGATTCACCATTATGAGTTCGCCTTACAGCTTCAGCAAACATCATTGATACATCAATACACTAAATATATAAACATAGAAGTTTTATATATTATTACTGTATAATCATAAATAATAATATTAAATATATATTAGTTATGTACAATTTTTCAATTACCTGTATCTTTGGGCAATCCTTCATATGGCCATCTTGAGGAATGGTATTTGTTACTACCACAGCTTCAAAACAAGCATTATTAATTCTACTAATTGCTGGGCCACTGAAAATGCCATGTGTTAATATAGCATATACTTTCGTTGCTCCAGCTTCTAGAAGTTTTTCTGCTGCATGACAAATAGTACCACAAGTGTCGGCCATATCGTCTACTAAAATAGCAACTCTGTCTTTTACATCTCCAACTAATACCATACTAGCAACTTCATTTGCCTTTTTCCTTTCTTTATGTATAAGAGCAAATTCAACATTTAATCGGTCAGCAATAGATGTTACCCTATTGAGATAATCTTTTTGTAACATATTTGTCTTATATTAATGGTAATTTTGAATTTTACCTTTTAGCACCACCAGCATCTGGAGAAACAATGATACTATTTCGCCATTCTATAATATTTTCTTTAATCCACTTTAAAACAGCTGGTTCAGCAAATAAATTGTCAACTGGAATGTCAAAAAATCCTTGTATTTGACTAGCATGCAAATCCATCGTAATAATGTGATCAGCTCCTGCTACTGACAACATATTTGCTACTAATTTTGCTGAAATAGGTGCACGACTCTGAAAAAGAAAGATAACAACAAATTTTTATTTAATGAAATTATATGAATCTCTGAAGTCCATTTGCAACTGGAAATATCCTGCAATTTGAAAAAAATTGCCATTAAAATTCTTAGACATTTTAGAAAACATTTTATAAAGTCAATAAATGAAGGAATATTAAAAATATATTTTTATAAAAGATATATAACAAATTTTTATTTTTTGGAGGGGACAAAATATCAATACAATGGCTATGTATTGAAATACTCATTAAAAATATATTGTACATGTGTACATACAGATAAAAACAAAAACAATATGTTGCAAATGCACCCCAGTTAGACTCAGAAGGAAAATGTAAGTAAAGCAAAATTCAAACTTATAAATTACAATACAGAACACAATGCATTTTAATTTTTTAATTCTGCAATGTTTGAAAATATGTAAAAAAAAAATAGAGTAAAATTTCTAGACAAGCATAGTTATAACCAAAATATATAAATATATTGACATTGGTGTTATGACAATAAACATAATGAAATTTGTTTTGAACAAATACAAATGCATTGTGCTCAGAAAAATAATAATAATAAAATCATTAAATCTTAATAAACTTATCTACGATAGATATAAATTTTCAAAAAAGCTAATTAATGTTAATATTTTAAAAATAGTATCTCTTCACAAATCATTTTATTGGCATAACATTCTTGCCAAAATAACACAATCACAGTTTTTTCTTGCCAAAGCACTATTTCATTAATAAGATAGGCTTCATGATTAGTATATTTGGACAACAACATTTTTAGCAACATGATGATTAGTACCCATTTAACATACAAGTGTATATCCCATTATATGTATATAGATGATTAAAAATATATGTAGAATGCTATTATATTAATATTTTGCCCTCTCATTCAGGTATCAATATGCTATGACGAAGTAGTCCATTCATTCATTCATTCATGGGGATACCATTGTGCTATATAGCAACAAATATAAGTTTTGTTAGTCCTACAAAGAAAATTTTGAAAACTAAAAATGATATTACAACTCAAATTGTTCATCGAGTTATAATTACAAACGTTACACTCGACAACATTATAATTTTATTCTTATACTCACTGTAGAGAGGTCGGGCACAAAATCCTGAAAATACCCAACTATTCAGAAATATATAAATAAGTAAAATGAATTTTTTGACAAAAATTATTTTAATAATAATGTTTTTTCTTCAGTACCCATTTTATTTGGAAATTATTTATTAAAAAGCAATTATTTTTTAAAAATTATATTAAATATAACAATTCTTATTTTAATTAAATTTTGATTAAATCGATATACCTTTATTGTGCTTATTTCTTTTTTAAAATGTTATATGGAGTATTTATTAATATCTTAAAAATAATACCTTAATAAGTCTTTTAAATAAGAAATTTGAAATAAACTGCATTCAATGGATAATGATGGTAAATATTATATGAATGCACGAAAGGCCCCCCTCGATGAATTCTGACATTAATTTCGCAACATTCATATGGGTTATCTAACTTCTGATAACCTTTTGATAATTACTAAACACACCGTTTCAGTTATAATATATTTGATATTTACAGCTTTTGTTAATTATTTATTGCAAAATTATATGAAGTTTTACTTCATTAATATGTGCCACTTTGTAAAATATAATGTTCCAATGAATAACTATTTTTCAATATATATCAATAACTATTTTTAAAAAATTAATTCATGAATATGAGATCTAAATATTTATATTAAATAATTTATAGAATATGTATTCATGTATAATATATAAACAATCCCATAAAATATGTAACTGATGAATGAATAATAATTTTTTTGATTGTGACCCTTGATTTTTTGCATGCATACTATATTATATAAACAATGTGTATTGGTGTATTGTTTTTTTTTAAATATAAAATTTTGCATATATATTTAAAACTGTTGTTGCAATACATGTCAAAATTATATATTAATTTTAATTTATGTTAGTTATGATTTTAGAAGTATGAAACAATAAATAATGAAATCCTGGTAAATAAGAGATTTGGTACGACCTAATGATATAAGCCAAAAAATTATAAGCATATCTTGTATGATGATGAAAACTCATGTTTTGCGTTCCAAAAATGATATTACTCCATTGGTCTGTTGCAAAGCTATTAAACAGTAAATAGAGCAAAAAAAAGACCGCTACAAATTACCCTGAATTTCCACTCGTTTGACTTCATGATAATTTGTTTCTTAGAATTTCTGTTGTCACCTCCATCACCACCCTGTGAAGATATCATATAAAAAAATTTAACTTCTTCTTTGACAAATCGTATTTTCCTTATTATGTGGGTCATTTTTTTCAGTATTCATGATTACAGAAGACATAAAATGCACAATTTCAATCACATAAATTATTTGAAATATAATAATTATTACAGAGTTTAAGAGAAATAAGCACATAAATTCAACTAAAGATGTATAGGTATGTACAAGACTAAATTAGGAATTCAAATATTTTATGAAAATCATAAGCATAACATTCTCTTCCCTACAGGAGCATTTATTTTATCTGTATATGCAAAGCAATATACTTATGTTAATTAATAACATAAATCAATAAAATGACTATTATGTGTCTAAATTCACAGCACGGCTTTTCTAAACTATTTTGTCATATTCACATATATGTTTCATTTAAAATAATAATTAATTGATTTTATTAAATTTTAACCACAAACAATGAACACATAAATATGCTATAATTAATTATAGTGAACTACAGATTGTGATAATCAACAAAACAAACAAGTATTACAACACAATAAGTTAAATTTACCATCATACATCATGTGTAATCTCTACAAATATATTTGTAAAATATAGTAACAGAACATATGTTAAGTGACTAGACTTTATCGGTTATATAAAAGTATCATCAATTCCTAAATTTGTAAATTCATAAATTTCTATGCACAATACTGTAATAAATAAAAAATTAAATCAAACACATTATCTTATCAATGTATCCTACCTTATCCTTCTTATCTTGTCTTGCATACGGGAAACAAGGAATTACAGCAGTGACTCTAGATGCAGAAGCAATTTTGCATGCATTGATCATAATCAATAACTCCATTAAATTGTCATTGACTTCTCCGCTTCCACTTTGAACAATGTATACATCTTCTCCACGAACGGATTCTCCTATTTCCACGCTAACAGAATCATAAACAAAATAAATATAATTATTATAAAAATTCTTGATGCATAAAAAGCACTATTTAAAAAAATATGAATTTGAAAGCATGTAAATATAAATCCAAAGAATATATCAGTCAATTTACTATAATAAGTTTAAAGGTATTCTTTTTTACTTTTTATTCTTATTATTAATAAATTGAAGTTGCACACAAGAATGAGATCTATGTATTTTAATTATTCTTGTCCACTATTTGATTCCTTTCATACTTGAGATTATTTCAATTAAGAAATTATATACTTCATGATAAGAACCGAACATGAACAAATAATAACATAGCAATAAAATATATTTATCATATGGTTGCATGTAAGCTCAAATATTCTACAATCAGATATATAATATATAATATTTGTAAAAACACATTAATGTTAGAATTCATTAGAATGAGTATTAATAATTGTACTAGTTGACCTTCAAGTTAAACATCGCGGTTCGGTGGTAAATGAGAAAACCGGCCTTGCGCGACAGGGTTGTTTGCACTTTAGGTAGGGTTGATAAATTAATGGGTATATAAAAAGGATGTTACAAGAGTGGTGAAAATGTTTTACGTTTTGTGGAACGACATACCAGAAAAAAGAAATTTAAGTGAAATTTAAAATGACACGTGGTCAAGACTTCAGTTTAACGCGATGACAATAACGTGGTTATAGCGGTGAATGCAACCATTACCATGTTTCGAGGTTGCTGAATTTTTTGGTGACAACCTTTCCAATGTCAATACCAAGTCTGTCAACAATGCGTTGAGCCAAATCTGGATGTGATGTGCCACTGAAGACTTTGATGTTTGGCATTCTGCTCTGCAAAAGTCGCCCGCGAGAATTTTCTAAGTTTGCGCGTAACAAACTCTTGGCACGCACTGGCTGGGACACAGGCATCACTAAAACAGAAACCACAAAGAGACTATCCAATCACAGATCGCTCTTAAAACCGGATGTGATGTATAATACTATGCTCCGCCCATCGAGTGTTGGACATTACCGCGCAAATGCATTTCTTATTATTTTTTTCTTTTTCTCCTACTAAAATAATAGAGTAAGATACCAACAAGATTGTTTTGCAGTTTAATAAGAATCATGATATTTTTAAAAATATTATTTATGACAGTTTAAAAATATTATGTTGCGATCCGATTAACTACTAATCTAACCATTTGTTTAATGATTTTTTTATGATAATAACCAACTTCATAGCACAATTCACTTAAAATGACACGTTGCAAATAATTTTTAGATTTAACTTATACTTCCTGCTTATTTTTCTACCACGTATAATTGTAAATGAATTAGTAACTAGTTTGGTTCTTTATCAAACTTAAATTTATTACATACTAATTTACACCCTAAATTGTCATCTTTTTAAAGCATGAATACGTTACTGCGTAAA